GCTGAGCTAAATCCCCAGCCCCTAAGACACAGTTTCTAAGGCATATATTACAGTGCTTCTCTATTTACCACCAGCTAAATTTCAGTACTGCAAGGTCCATGAAACAGGTAACATTTATGAAAACAAGCCTAAGTCCTTCTATATTTTATTTCAAAATATACATTTCAAGAATAACTAAGGCCTTTCTCTTTAATTGCCTTAGGAGCTTACTTTCATTTCATTGAGTATCCCTGAATAAAGGCCTCACCTCTACTTTTTTAGTTTGCTTCTTTTTACTTTGGTTCTCACGTATTGCACCTGTGAATATCTTGGGACATATGGGCATCAAAATTTCCATGTGTGGGCTGTGAGGCCATTGTTTCAGAATACTCACCCAGAGATCCCTATGTTTAACCAACACTGAGAACCACTGCTGAGACCTGGGGTCCCCATGTGCTTGCAGGAACCTCCACCCTCAAATCTCCTGGGCTTTCTTGGACAAGCAAGTTTCTCACGTGCCTTCAGGTCAACAGAATCAGCACCTGTACGTCAAGAAAACTCCCTGGCCTATGCATGAACATCAAAGTCTGTCACCTCTTCGGACTCAGCAATGCTTCTCAAACTTGAATGGATGTGAGTCTTAATCAAGGAGCTTCTGAATGTGCTGCTTTGACCCTAGAGATTCTTATTAATTAGGTCTTAGATGGAGCCTGAGCATTGGTAAATTTCAATAGATCTACAGGCAACTCTCAGTTACACACAATTAAAAATAACTGTGTTATATGCAGGTCCTCACTTGACTCAATTTCAGTATCTTCCCTCACTTACCTTTCCATGTAGACTTAAGGTATTTCACCTGCCACCCAATCTTATCTATTTGATCAATATTGAAAATCAACTTACCAGTTGGGAATTCACCTAGACCTCCCATCAGGGGTATGGTATAGCAGTGGGCACTGCATGTTGTCACAAAGGTGGCCAGGACCAGGAGAGCTCCCAGCAGAGTCTTCTAAAATGTAAAGAAAGACATAGTGGAGAATGGGTGGACTCAGTGTCTACCTGGACTACAGGTCACACACAGGTCTCCATGTAGGGCTTTGGGATGTGGTTATAAATGTGCAACTTCTTTCCTCCAGTGATCCAGAAAGGCAACCAGTCCTCAGAGTCACCGAGTAAACAATGGACAGAAGAATATGGGTGTCAAGAATCCTACAGATGCAATGCCAATGTGCTTTCTCATTACAGAGGAAGTTTGGGAAATTCTTGAGGCTCAGAAGGTGTTTCAACACTCATAGAATCTCGGAGAATAAGGACAGAAAGGAGAAGTGTTGAAAACAATGAAAATGGACAAAGACACAGAGGGGAAAGAATACACAATTGGAGGCTGGCAGGACCTGTGATTATAAAGATAGGTTATAGAAGGGTCTTAATCACTTTCCTCATCACTGAGACATCATAGCCAACATCCACAACTAAAAGGAGAAGAGTCTTACTTTGGTTCAAAATTTGTAACCGTTTCAGTCATTGAATGGTAAGTTGCATGGTAAAAGGACCTGATGTGGAGAAAATCTGGTCATAGGATCTGAAAGAGAGAGAGAGAGAGAGAGAGACAGACAGACAGACAGACAGACAGACAGAGACAGAGACAGAGACACAGAGAGACAGAGAGAGACAGAGACAGAGAGAGGGAGAGAGACACAGACACAGACAGACAGACAGAGAGGACAGAGACAGAGATAGACAGAGAGACAGAGAGAGACAGAGAGAGACAGAGAGAGACAGAGTCAGAGACAGAGACACAGACACAGAGAAAAACAGAGACAGAGAGAGAGAGAGACAGAGAGAGATACCAAGAGAAGCGCTGCAAAGGAGATTAAACCCTTCCAAGTTACACCTATAGTGACCTGCTTCTTCTGACCAGCCCTCACCTCCTAACATCAAATCAGCTATAATGCCCAAATAACCCAACTACCTTGCAAAAGCCCCACTTTTCACTGAATGCAGGTTTGAAGGGTCAACTAGAAATAAACTATAATAGGCAGGTTGCAACACAGACTGTTTTTAGAGATGTACCAATCTCCCAAACACAAATATAATTATTACATATCACAAACATAAACTAATAAAAAATAAGTTGAAAAAGGAAAGAGACCATGAGGCCCAGAATTTTATATGATACAGATTTTTTAAGTTTTGTTTTTACTTTTTTATGAAAAAAGCAACAAAATTTTATAACAAAATAATGAGAGAATGACAATAGTGTATCATTATCTTCAAAGTAATTACTCAAGAGTACAAGATATGGACCAAAAAGATTCCTCCAAAGAAGAAACAGATAATGACACTGGCTCTGGACATCAAAGTCAGGGCTTTGAACAATGTGGCTTTGAACAAGGTCTCCACTACTGAGTGCATACCCAATACCAACAAAGTCATCTCTGATGGCTGAATATAGATTGAAATTCATAGAACAGGGGAAGTAGCAAGTGGTCCATGTCATCTAAGTTGAGATGAGCAAATGCCCAAGCAAATCTCATTGAGGGAATTTTAGGATAGAAAGGAAGATGTGGTGGGATGGTTTCTCCAAAAGATGGTTCAATTTAGATGTGAAATAGTGTCACATTATGTAGAATACCATTGATGTACAAATAGAAAGCCAAACATAGGGGACCAAATAGAAAACCCAGAGAACATCAATGAATATAGGTGTGTGTTCTGTACAATAAACATGGTCTTTGAGATCACAGAACATTATCTATGTAATGTGATTGTGAATATGTGGTATTAGAATACATGGTAGATGATTTCAGAAGAAGTAGTAAATTTCCATTTTAGTCTACATCGTGAAACAAATTCTACATGAGCCTTCTCTATATTGGGAGATCCCTGCTGCCAGAGGCACTCAGCCTCTTGGAAATAGCACCACCTCTACATTCTCCTGCTGCCCTCTGTATCCAGCAGAACTTTCAGCTAGTGCATCAATCATGCACTAGTGCATCACTGGACATGAAATGACCAGAGACATCAGTAGTTGAGAGCCTGGGTGCCTGGCAGTTTTGGTTCCCTGACCTCATTTGTCCTGAGCCCTAGCTCTCAAATGAGATCCGTTTCAAGTACCTGGCATTACAGCTAGGTTTTCCAGGGGTGGGTGGCCATAGCTGGATTGAGTTGTCAGAGGGACAGGGGCTGTAACTGAGACTCTATCACCCCTGTACCCAGAATAGTGCTTTGGGTCAGTGGCACCTCTACACTATCCTGGGCATCTGCTTGTGTTGCAGGTGATGGTGCCTAGTTGGGCTTTCTAGTCTTCTGTGACATGTGAAGGAGCCATATCCATTAGCCGCTGTTCTTTCTCATGAATTTCATCACCCTGTGTGTTCCTCTTGTTACACTGCCAAGACAGGTGGGGAAACTAGGTTCTGGGGATGGGACAAGGGTGGAGAGATGAGGTATTTCTGTACTGAAAAAATAGAAAAAATTAAAATGACTCAAATTGTATTCTTCTAAAGATAAAGTGCATTTGAATATGTAAAAATTGTAATTAAGAGCTAAAATAGAATCAAAAAATATCAAACTGCAGAACAATGTCACTAGATGGTGAATTTCTACATCCTAATTGCAAAAGAGAAATAGTAGAAAAACAGCAAGAGAAAGAAAGTGGCATCTCACACACAGAAACACAGAAAATACCAAACACAGGAAAGCTCATCTATACTGTAACAAAAATGAACATATGGAGACAAAATGAATCCATTATGCAAGGCCAGCATAATCATATAACTTACCATACTCCTAGGGAAACAGAGGCACGTATTGGGAAATGATGTGCACAGGGATCATTTATGGGGAAGGGTGTTTCTGAAGAGCAATTCTTTCTTGCACGTGAACATTTGTGCACCATTTATAACATTTGCATCCACATTTGCACTTCTGAGATGGGTTCCCAAGGAGAACAGCAGAAACATGAAGAGCGACTGCCTTGCGCATACTCCATGAAGTGGGAAAGTGGGAAACCACAAATAAACCAGGACACAGCTGCCTGAGAATGTGGGGACCGGAAGCAAGCTGCAGGCTCACAGGCGGGAGGGAGAAAGGACGTGGGCCAAGGATCACTGAGATCCATTCAGTGATATGAAGCTGACTGTAATCAGGCCAGGTGGAGTGACAGCCATGATGGAGCCAGAGACGCTCAGACACAGATGGCAGTAGTTGTGGCAAATGTAAAGAAGGCATTTTTGGAAGATGTGATTGTGAGAATTTCAGGCTTTTCCTCTTTCTGTATTTTTACAGTGAAATGCACTAGATGCATAACTATAAAGGATTAAAGGAATTCTTAAAAAACAAAGAGCAACAGCTACAGTTAGCAACAGCGGGACTTGGAATTGGACTTGCACTCTGATTTGCATTTTTCATTTCACCAGCCTCAGCTCAAATAAAACTGGAAACTTACAGTTTTCTTCACCCAGAATATTGGCCCTATGCAGAGAGTTTTGCTGTATAAATAGAGAAAAAGGCTTCCAGGGTTGTACTGGTCCTGGGTATCTAGAGGGCTATGATTCATTGAGTCAAGTACAAGGGTATCAGAGGAGAAGAGCCATGGCTGTTGTCCAGGGCCAAAAACTGGGCAGAATCCACATCCTGTCCAGCACTGGGGCAATGGCACAAGATTCAGGGACTGGAGATAGCCAAAATTCAGTGACAGGAGAGACCATGTGATCCCTCTCTCTCTGTCTCTGTCTGTCTCTGTCTCTGTCTCTCTCTATCTCTCTGTCTTTCTCTTGTGGGTATGTGTGGGTATGCATGAAATCCAGTGTTCTCACTTTTATCCCACTTTGGTGGCCATCACATTTCCCCAGGGAGCTCAGCTTAGCACACAAATTCAGGTTCTTTGTAGACAGATATGGCCAGCGCCTTGGTATCTTGCCCTTGTCTTCTGGACAGATCCACAGGAAAACCGACCAGACCAGTGCTGCTTTAACATGAAGGTGCACCCCTGAGCTGCTTAAGAAGTACAGTGCTGGAAGTTTCTGTCTCAGTAGTGCGCAGAAGGAGACCCCAGGCTGGTGGTTCTCTTGTTGATCCTGGGGGATCATAGGGTCAGCCATGATTACAGAGGCTCCAGTCTCTTTCCAACTGTGAACTGTTCCCTGGCACCCTCCTGCTTCCTTTCTTGTCTTCCTTCTTGCATCTGTGACCCAGGAGGCCTGATGTGTGCTGTCCAAGAGACTGCAGCCAGGAGTGGCATTTGCTGGGGCTTTCCAGATAGTGTGGCTTTAGTCTTGACCATGAGGTAAGAAAAATAAAATGGCCCTGTTCCCTTGGGATTCTGTCCCATTGTAGCGACAGGAGTTCATGGGGGAAAAAATAGAGTCTCATTAAGCTTTAAGTTTTAACAAAATTTATACAAAACCTTACTAAAGGCAGTTTATGCCTCTATAGTTAGACTCTGCAGTTAGAGCAATCAAAAAACGTAGGACCGAGAGAAAAGCTAGACTGAGAGAGGCACCAGGTAACACAATTACCACAAGAACGTATCGAGGAGAGTTAACAGAACACTAAACAAGCCAGAGACATAAAAGACCAGGAAAATTGGCTCCCTTCATCTACCTGATAAAATGCAAGGGAGATAGGGAACAGTCTTTTAATATATAAAAGACACACACCTATACATATATACTTACTTGTATATTGTCATTTTAACATCACTATACCTAGACCAGATAAACACACGTCCTCTTTACTTGATTTCTAACTACGAACTATCCTTCTATGAGGGTCCTCCTTCCCACACTTATCCAACACAAAAAGGACAGGAAGAAATCAAACTGCTGGAAGAAATGCAGACAGACATGCATAGGTTAGGATCAAAGAGAACCAACAGAACAAATTAGATGGTGATATTTTTCAGGTGCCCACATGGGAGATGAAAAGATAGTTCCTAATAAAAGGGATCCACAAATATTTCACTTTTGAATACTCCCCACTCATCCAGAGTAGCTGTCTGTCATCTCTCTCTGTCAGTCTCCCCTCTTTCCCCACCTTCAATGAATTGTTTTCTTTTATTTTAAATTCTGCTTCTTGAAGTTTTTTTGTTTTATATTTGTCTGTTTGTTTTTTAAACTGGTGCTGGGTATAGGATTACTGGGAGCTCTGTTTTCCAGTGGAGCAGTGGCTTGCCATCCACCTGTAGCCGTGATACTGTCAGGTATGCCACCACTGTTCCTGCAAGGGTCTCTCTCCAGGGTCTCTTCCTGATGACTCACTTCAATGCCCTTCTCACTCCTGTCCAGTGTGTGCTTCCTTCCCCTATTGTCTGAGGATCTAAGAGCAGCCCAGACCATTCTTGTGACTGGCTCAAGTCAAGGAGAGTTTTATTTTTCTTAAATTTACTTTGAATGGACAGGAAGCCTTCATGAGATTTTATCAATTTAGAAACAAGATTCTTTTTATCCAACATGATATAGCAAAAAGGGCCAGCAGTTGACCTCCCAAATTTTTCTGACGTTAGAATACCCTGTGTAGCCTTCAAACACCCATTGCACCGCTCTCACTGTAGGCAAGTTAAATCAGCATCAGCATCTCTCCAAGACTCTCAGGTGACTCCACAGTCAGCCCTGTATGGGGGGCCCTGGCTTGGAGAGAGGGATGACTGGGTCTTCACCTCAGGTTCCCAAGCATGAGGTTATGACTCTGTGGCAGCCTATTTCCCTCTCAGTCTTAGTTTCCACATTTGTAAAATGATACATAAATTGCAGCTCTGGAATTACACTCAATTGTACAAATCACTTACCACCTCATGGAGTCTATGAATTACTGGAAAGAATAACTACTTAGTTCTAGAGAATAGAAATAGTGTAAAATGTGTTAAGATTTTTCACAACCAAATTTCATCAAACTTTCATCCAAATCTTCATTCATTTGATGTGAACACTCCCATTGTTCACATCAAATGGCAAGTAATATGCACAACATTTAAACTTAGGTTGCACTGATCTTTAAGTGGTATCCAGAAGAAATGCACATCACAGCCTATTACAGTAAGGAGTATCTATTCTTTCTTTTTCCGTCCTTGTTTTTGTGTATAAAATCACTTACCTGCTAATGTGAGGCAGGTGCTCTACCCCTGAGCTGTACCTCTAACCCAGTTACCTACCATTGTGAAGATCAGCACTCTTTCCAGGCAGGTACCCAGGAGCAGTCACAGGGAGCATTTATATGCCAGAGAGGTCAGCAGACATTCAGTATCATTCTAAAGAATCTCTCACCCAGAACCCATGAAATATTTACAGAGGGCCCATTATCAACAGCAGACTATGGTCTCAGCTGATGTATGAGTTATTTATCAGAGCTCCACCCCAGTTACGTGCTTACCATGTCCCCACCCTAATATGTGTTTGCCATTAACCTAAGTGGAAGGAAAAAAGAAAGAACTTTCCTTACCTGAGCCTTAATACTATGTTGGGTAGATTGCTAGGAACATGGCATGTGCTTATTTGATTTTATCAACAAAGAAAAAGAGGATTAAAATGCCAGTCACCACTGCAGGTGCTGAGAACAGTTTCATGAAGACAAAGTGCACCAAAACAGGTAAGCCTGTGCTTATGGTCTGGTATCAAAAAGCAGGAATGCACCAAGATATCCTGTGGGCCATGGGACAGTCTTGCCCACCTGCCTGCCCTGGTTGTTCCTGACAAGCCGTATGGCTCAAACCACTTAAACTTCCCAAAAGTCTTCTTCAGTCTTCACTCTTTGCTCCATTGGGTGTCAAGAAAAACTTCCTGCTATTTCCTCAAGCATGATCTCCTTTATGGGAAACAGTAGGGAGGTTCTTCATTAAAATAAAAGCAGAAGTACCCTATAATTCAGTAATCCAACTACCGGGAGTACATCCAAAGGACATGATGCAGAAGGTCCAAAAGACTTGTACTTGCTTGTCTCCCTCAGTGTTGCTTGAAATAGCCAAGACATGGACTTAGCCATCACCTGTTGAGTGTGTAATGGAACAATGATAGGTATATGCAATGGAATACCATGTGATCAAAAGATTGGTGAAAAATCTCTCATTTGTGACATTATGGGTAGAAATAGAAATTTTTAAGTTAAGAGACATAAACAGGTGTCCTTGCCCCATGAGCCAGAAGCAGCTGGGACCCTACATGGACCCAGAGGAGACATACATGGGTGCCCCCAACCAACTTTGTGACCAGGATTCTGGGCTCTGGGCATGGCCACCTGATGAATTTCTTTTGTTGTATATTTCATTTTCCCTCGGCCTGAAGGAGCAGATGTGTCAACCAATGACCTGATGGCGAATAAGGCCAATGCTGGGGACAGAAGGTAAGCCTGGAGGGTCAGCAGATCCAAGGACAAAGGACAGACCTGACCAGTAGCACTAACCCCAAGAAAAGCTCACAGCTACTTTTTCATTTTAATTCTGTATTAGTACGTGTTTGCAGTACATAATAATTACATTCTTCGAGGGGAGTTGGTACGTGTATCTAACACATCTTCTTTTTTGATTCCCTCCCCAATCTGTCCTTTCTGTCCAGAGCTATTGTAAACTACAAAAACAAAGTAGGCTTTTACTCTGAAAGTGATTTTTTCATAGCAAGATAGAGTTGGAACCCTTCTTCATTGGTGAAATTGAAGTACAATATACTATAACAACTATGGACATCAGTATGGAGCTTTCTAGAAAAAGAAACCACCTAAAAGTAGAAATTCCATTTGCTCCAGCTATTCCCCTTCTAGGTATCTTCCCCAAAGAGAAGAGTTGAAGACATGGTATAACAGTGATACATACATACCCAGGTATATAGCAGCACAATTCATAATAGTTAAATTTGGAAGCAGCCTAAATGCCATCAACAAATGAACAAATTACTGAGGTTTGATCAGAACCTTGGATACCTGTGAGGGGTGGATGATGGAGAATGGAGAAAGACAAACTTCAGGGTACACGGGGGACCAGGAGGAGTTTTCCTCTAGTGGACTGACTCATCTACCTCTGTGGTTGGCTTACTTTTATTAGCTAGCAAGAAACACAGGGGAGGGTAGCACACATTTCGTGGACTAGCTGCTGTAGAAAATGGGTGGATAAGGAGTAAATTAGTGAAGAACTAGATTTTTCTCTAAACCGAGATGCCTGTGTACAACTGTCCTCAGCATATGCTAACTTGCCTGGAGAGTGCTGGGTTATGAGCATTCTGAACATAGCCTGGGGGCACATGGCATTTCATATACTTACCTGTTCCTAAAGCAAGATCACGCTGACCTAGGGTTGAGGGGGCTTAAATCACATAGTCAGGGCTGTCCATAATCTATTACATAGCCTCGTCCCCAAAAGTTCCTAATTGAAATAGTGCAACTTGAGGTTAAATGGCATCAAGGCATTGGCTGGTTTGATTTTCCCCGAGGCAGATTATAAGTAAAAATATGAGCCAGAAATATATTAATGTACTCAAGTACATGTAAAATCCAAAATGGGTTTTAAGATAGCTTCATAGATTAAACTGATCAACAGTATCAGTAAATTTCTCCCAATCTTGAATTTGTTTATCAAACTTTTGGGTTTGTTGAAACATAGATAATACCCCCTTTTGTAGTGCCTCCACATCAGTACTTATACTACTGAGTATATCACCATATATACGCTTCTTGATATGTTCCCAAAGATGAGTAGACTGATCACAAATGACAGGAACCATACAACACTGAGTGATATGAAAATGGCATTGGAGGCCCTGTTGCAACTGCAGACCGCCCCCCATCCAATCTTCCATCCACACAACAATGGTCTCCAAAATGCTGACTTGTGACTGTGATTTTGCATCAATAGGATGTGGTATATTCCAGGCTTTGCCTGCAGTTCTGTCCAATTATCTGCAAATAAGCAGTGTGTACAGAATGAACAAGAGCTATAGAAGATATAGCAACACTGGAAATTAACAGAGACAATTCCTGTAACAATCAATCCTAGCGTCCTTTTCATTTGGTGCACAAGGTGATCAGTAAATGATTGCAGTAGGCAAATAACAGGCATATCAGCAGCCCATGGCTCAGTGAGATTTACTGGCACCCAGACTCCTGGCATATACCTTAAGACTAGCTGGCTTTTACTAACTCAGGTTCTAGTTGATACACAATGGTTCATTGTACACTCCCTGCACATTTAAGGAGGTGTGGTCACATTTAATGGTCCCATATATAAAGATGTAAAGGTTATAAGTACATATGGAAGACCATGCGGTCTTATTTTTATAAATTAGAACATTTGACATATTTGTAGTAAATTTAGCCATATGGCCTTTCTGCAGCTGATCACTATAATAAGGAAGGGCCAGTTTCCCAAGTGTTTTCTGAAGGGGTCCAGGTTTGCCATTAATGATGGCCTGTGGCAATGGGGGCCTAAAAGTAGACCCATGCCATTGAAGTTGTCCTTCAGTATCTGAATATAAAAGAGGTATATTTTCCCATAGTAGTCAGTGTACTGATGCCATTTGACTGTATGCTAAGCTGAATGATTATTGTCTCTCCTTAGTAATTTTACTCGGGGGCCCCAATCTATAAACACAAATTGCTTTGGTGCATTTTTCACCTTCTGTCTACTTTATAGGGGGGCACACACATATGTGGCAGCCCAAGATGTATATCATGTACATAGGGGAACATTGGGCCTGGAAGTGTTAGCCCATCCCCCTAGAGCCCAATATTAGATTTATAGACTGGTTTTCCTGGTGAGCCACCCAGATTTATGCTGAGCAAATAGGCAACAGTTAGACTATAAAGATCTGGGTTCCATACACAAGGGTAGATATAAGAAGTGTGATGTATAATTTAAGGTAATATCAGTATCTGCAAATTCAGGGGCCATATAAGTTCCTGGCACCCAATTCAACTGATCGTGATAAATTTCTGAGGAAAAATCATGTAATAGGTTGTAGCAAAGGAGGATTAATTACATAAGCCCAATATTCTTTCCCTGACACAAGACTTATACATATGGTAGAGGTGGTGATGGCCACCATGGCAACAAACACTTTCTAGGATATGCAGGAGGCCCTGGCTTGCCACCAATTTCTCAGTTTCCTGGGTCATCTCCACTTGACCCATGTTATAGGTTTTACAATTTGTGTGGTTTTTAATGGCTGCGTTGCTTCTTCCAGGGTCATCTGAGAGAAGGTTTCACTGATGCATATGGCGGTGTTAGGTTCAACCACAGGTTTAGTGAAACCATATTCTCCAGTATCCATGGTTGCACATTCCAGGATGGCACCCATAGCCGTGTTCCACTATCTGTTAATGCACAAGTGAACCCTTGTCCCCATGTTGTTAGTTGCACTGGGTCATCCTACTTTCCTGTTTAGACATTTTTCCATAAAACTTGTGCCTTAGGCTTATCCATAGCATCATCCTTCTGCCAATGGAGCTCTGATGGAGTACTTTTGTTCTCTGCAAGCAGATTAAAAACATTTCAGGGCCAGGCATGGTGGTACATGCTTGTAATCCCAGCACTCAGGAGGCTGAGGCAGGGGGATCGTTGTGAGTTTGAGACCAGCCTGGGCTACAAAGTGAGCAGGATGTGAGAGACCACTGCAGTAAAGAGACTGAAGTTATGCAAAAGAGCCCAGCAGAATTCTTGAACTGAAACACTCAATAAGTCAAATTAAAAACTTAATTGAACATTTAAGCAGCAAACAAGATCAAATGGAAGAAAGAACATCTAGACTAGAAGACAAGGTGGAAGTGCTAGAACATTCAGACTGAATAAAAAAATGCAGAGGACTGAACAAATTTTGCAAGTGTTCCTGAATAGATTTCAAATAAATAGCTTCACACTCACTGGTTTAGATGAGGATATCAAAATACATATGTATTCATTAAAAGTATAATATAAAACTTCTTCAGACTGGCTAGTGAGATTGAAATGGCGATAAAAGAGGTATTAACAACTCAAAATAGACATAACCAAAAAAGAACCTCCCCATAACAAATTACAGTTAAAAATGAAAGTATTCATAACAAAATAATATTAAAATATGTTGGAGAAAATTGCCGAATTATCTGTAAGTGTAACAGTTCAGAGTTAAAGCAGATTTCTCAAAAGAAAATTCTAATCATGGGAGACCTTGGAATTAAGTATCTCAAGCCATGAAAAGAAATAATGTAATACATCTAATACAATAATGCATCTAATACATCTAATACAGT